GGAAAAAGTAAACCAGAAAGATGGTGCTTGGGCAAATGCCACGGAGTTAATTAAGGCCTTTCCCTCACTGGGGCATTTTTTCACGCATGTCTGTGAACAGTTTAGGGGAATGGACTGCTGAGCAGCTGTAAACTGGCTTTGGTTTTGTAGGGGGAAGAGGCACCATGTCCGCCCTGGCACGTCTTTCCCCCGCCGAGCTGCTTTGCTGGGCTCCGGCTGCCGTTGGGCTGTTCCCTTGCAATTACTGGGCACCAGCTTTCTGCCAGTGGGTCCTTCGGAGCAGTAAGACCCCGTGTGCCAGGGCTCCTGGGATGGACGCTGACCCCATAATCCTTCTAAAAGCCTCGGGGCCCTCTTTCCCCCCGGTTCCACTGTTTGGACAGCCTGCCTGGGGCCGCAGTCGCGAGCGCACGGCATGGGAAGGCCGTGAGAATCCAGCCCTCCCCGCTTCGACTAGTGCAGGAATCGTGTTGGGTGCCCACCTGGGTTTTCTCACCACCTGCCTCATTTACCTGCAAGGCTCAAATGTGGATTTTTAGACCTAGAGCTACCACCTCGGCCCCTGGGTCTTCTGTTTCTTCCACCAAAAATGGCTTTGTTTAGGATGCAGCTGTATATTTTTTTTTTTTTTTTTTTTTTTTTCTCTCTAGGCAGAACCTGGCCAGGGTTGTATTGTTTTTCAAGAGTGGCTGATTCATGGGCAGGTGTAGCAGTGACAGCTCAGCTGTACAGGCATGGATGGTTTGCACGATTCGACTGTGATTTGATACGATCCATGGACCAGCTCTCCAGCCGTGGGAATGGTGGGCTGTAGGGTGCCTGTGAAGGTTAGCTAGGGGATCACAGTGCCAGTGATGGGGGAATTAATGAATGATTAGGGGGTTTGCCTGGGGGTGGGGAGGGGGGTGTTGTCAGAGGTTGAGCAGGCTGTTTTTAGCATCGAGCCTATTAGGAAGACAAGACTGGAATGAAGACCTCCAGCCGCTGGAACATTTACTGGCACCATGGGACTAATTGATGGTGTCCCCCATTCACTCCCATTTTCTCTTTGAATTTAGAAACAAAACGACGAGTGTATCAAGCACCCCTCCTCTCAGCTTGTACCAGGAACCAGGGCTCTGCCTGATGACAGCACAAATCCATCTTAGCTCACTGGAGACTAATTGTGCCGTTAGTAGCAACATCCAAGGTGGATGTTTAAGATTATCTTTTGACTTGAAGTGTGTGCTATTCCCAGACTGCAGAGGTTTATAAGTGAGCAATTAAGTTGTAAGGATGGAGGGAAGGGAAAAGAGAAATGAAATTGTTGGCATGGGTGCAGAAGATTAAATTAGAAGTCTCTGCATGTGATGGTTCTTGGTTTAAATTGTCTCCTGTTGCTTACGCTCAAACCGCATCGATAGAGCTGATGTAATGTGAATTTTCTGGTTGTGAAAATGTAGGAGCAGGTGTCCTATAGCATAGATACTCTGCTCCTCAGGTCCTGGCTTGCTGCTGCCTCTCTTGCCATCCAACATCTCAGCATGCTTTTTTCCTGATCTCCAGCACCTCCTGCTGATGGAGTCTGGCCCTTTCCGCACAGCAATGCTGATCCTGCTCTTCCCTGGCCCATGCTTGGCAGCAGTGTGAAGTCAGTCAGTAAGTCAAGGACAGGGTTTTTATCCGAGTGTAGCTGTGCTGTGAGCGCTCCCTGCACAGCCACGTCCTCCGCTGCTGAATACATATTACATTGTAAAACTATACGTCTTGTTTTGAAAAACTCTGCTTTTTCTTGTATTTTTTTATGGCAGCTGGCCACTTTGCTGAATGCTCAGCAGCCTGTTATCAGGAACTGAGAAAAAGGGCTCCTGGGCAGGCGCAGATAAATCGCGGGTGCACGCTGTGGGTGCTCTGCACCTCTCAGAGCATCTCTGTGCCTGGTATGGGACACTTGCTGTGTCTGGGTGCTTAATCCCCAAGGGACTGCCTGGGATTCACTGCCCCAGTCTGGCAGCCTCCTTCCAGCTCTGCCCGTGGCCTGTGGCAGCTCTGGAATCCCACTTTTCAGCCAAGTTTGCAAGTCCCTCTTGCTGCTGTAGCTCTTGGGGAAGGGTTGGCAAAGTGTCAGATCACGGTCAAGGTTGGGTCCCCGTGGGCAGCGCCTGCAGCAGTTGGGGTTAACAAAGCGGTGGCATCTTGTACCTTTGGTAGCAGGTGGTTGGGGGCTTGCAGACCCCACTGGTGGGCTGGTTGCTCAGCCACTTCCACCTTGGTAGAAAAGCGTGGGGACAAACCTAGCAAAAATGGCAATTGCTTATAATCACTATAAACGGTGCAGTCGATGGGGAGCTAGTGAGAGGGTTTTTGCTCTGAACTAACTGCGTGGTTGGCTTGTGTTAGGGGACCCCCCCGTCTCAAATCAAGAATATTTTTGTTGAAGCATCATAGGAAGCACCGCAGAATTAATGAACACAGTTTTGCCATGCTCTCTGTGGGGTAGTGTGCCTTGCAGGGTCTTCACTTGAGGAGTTTGCATCGTCGTGGCTTGTGGACACTGTGACAATATTTCTTCCTTTGCTGCGCCCTAAAACAGTGAAGCCATTTCATTTCCTGTGCAGAGCACTTGAAATTTTAAGAATCATTCTTGTTTGGGGGCTGTAATTCTTATCAGAGTTGCTGCAGCGTATCAGAAGATATACTTGCACCCTGCTCTCTGGATATTCTCCTCAAATAAGATGCTCTGAACAAAATTAATTTTGCACACAGAGAGTAAACTGTATAACTAGAAACTGCTTCCGATATTAGGAAACACCAGACATCAGTACTTGAGGGATTTCTGAATTTATTGTAGGCAAAAGCGCTGGCAGGTAATTTCTAGTATAACCGAGGGGTTTATTTCCCTCTCACTGTCTCCTTCTGAAAAATGGTGTATGCTTTCCTATAAGCACAGGGTGCTGCTCTTTAACGGCCAGAGCCAGGCCTGCTCACTGTGTGTAAATGGCCTCGTAAGCAGGCAGATATTGCAGATTTTCTTACAGTCTGAGCAAGGCTCAGCAGCTCTGGAGGAGTGTGCGAATTGGTGGTTCTCAGTGGACGCAATTTGCAATGTGATCACAGGTATAAAGTTTAAAGCAGCTTGAATATTTGCTGGTTTTACACAACACTTACCCATGCTTTGGAAAGAGGAATTTGCATTTGATCTCAATTTTTCCCCTCTCTCCCCTTTTACAATTAGGATTCTAGCAACGGCTGGGACTGATTTTGACCTGCGGACCCTGCGAGCCGTCCGAGTGTTGCGACCCCTGAAGCTTGTGTCGGGAATCCCAAGTGAGTGTCATGATAATGTCATCTTCACAGCCAAAGGTGCTCTATAGCTTTTGGGGCATTACACGCTTTTCTGAGCAATATTTTCTTCCCCTGCTTCTTCATGGTCTGTGGCTCCTGCCCTTGCTAGGTTCTGATTCTCTGTCATCCCGTTTTGGGTACAGCCAGCTGATTTCAACACTGCGCTCCCAAATTTGCAGGTGAGAGGCAGGGATTTGTCCTAGGACTCCTTTGCCTTTGGGGTTGAATTAATTCTCCGGGGTGTGAATACCTGAGACCCGAATTTTGCAGCTTTCAGGCCCCCAGCCCTGAGCTTGGGTCTTCTGGCAGCTTTTACTAGCTGAGCATCTTGCACTGGGGATTTTACTCCTTTAATAAGGGGGAAAAACAAAGGGAAAGATCAGATGGGACTTGGCCTTGCCTACTCAATGGGCAACTTGATATATTTTACATGCTAACGTGAAGGGTCGGAATGCTCCGGTGAGGAGCTGCATCATGCCGTGCTGATGCCCTGAAACCATCAGAGTCCCCACACCGTTGCTTGCTGCCTTTTTATCCGTCACTGTTCACCAGCTGCTCTGCCCGCTAGCAGGGGATCGCTGGCAGGAGTGTATTTCACTTCTGAATGTGGAACAGAGAGATTTTTCCCTCCTGCAAGCGCCAGTGAAGGGGAACCGCTGCTCTGTGGGCTGCTCTGCTCCCCTCTGCATTAACCCCTCGGCAGCCAGGCAGCCCCCTCTCCTCCTGGGCCGTGGGTTGGGACCTCAGCTCTGCCACCTCCCCGGCTGCTGCAGGACTGAAATGTTGGTGCTGTAGAAATCCAACAAGGGGTTATGCTTTGCAATAACAGCACCAAAATTTCCTGAAATCAGCATCCTTTCATGGGCAGGGCTTGAATCTGAACTCCCACGCAGGAGAGGTCCTTGCCTAGGCTTGGGAAAAGTGTCATTAATTAACAGGATCTCTAATAAGGAGATGATGCTGGCTGTTTTTTCGTGGACTTCTTGCCTGTGCAAGGCAATAAGGTGTTTGTGGTAGTGACAGGCTAAGGATGTCAGAGAACTAAGGTGGCCCCTCAGGGGTGTCCCTGTCCTGGTGTGGGTCGCATATTCCCCCCAGGAGGACGCGCTCTCCCTCCCACCCAGTGATGTGTCCTGGACCAGCCCAATATTTTCCCACAGAGCATTATTTGCTCTCATGTTTTTGGTGATGCTGTGAAAGCTGTGTGCTGTGGTTTTCTTCCTGAAGTAAATGTACAACCTTGAGGTGCATTCATACACAAGCATGGTATATGCTTTTCTTCTACGCTCTCAGTATTTTTCCCATCCAACAGATCTTCATGATTTTTTTTCTGCATGCACCCGTATTGACCTCAGTAGTGCTGTACAAGCTGGCAAGACAATGATGATCCTTCTTTCTCCATACCTTAGGACAGGCCACCAAGGTGGCTTTCAACTGCTGCTTATAGCTGAAGTTTTTTTGTTATGTGCATCTGTATGACGTTATCTGACACCTCCATCTCTCCAACCTCTCTTGCCTTATCTCCCCTGGTTTTAATTGAAAATGAGCTTCAGTGCCAGTGATAAAGCTATGGATGGATAGCCCTGGTGACAGGGTTTTGTTTCTCCAGAAGCGGGGTGTGATAGGCACATCAGCATTGCAGCTATTCTGTGTCACGGAGGGAGATGGACCTCCTGTGCAGCTCAGCGCTCCCCCTGCCCTCCCTGGGATGCGGGGTACCACAGCGGTGCCGAGCTCTGCTGCTGCATCCACACTGCTGCAGGATCTGCCTTGAGGACCTGGTCAAGGTCTCCACCAGCTGCTGGAAAAGTCCTTTTTGTGTCTTTGAAGCTAAGAGACCTTTGAATCTGTGATCTGAAGAACAGGGGTCAGAAAAAGAGAACTCTCCTGATTGTCTCTCTCACATCTTGAGTGCATTATGGCTGTAGCATCTTTTTTATAGCACCCTGGAAAAAGCAGCATTGCTTGGTATTGCCAGTCCTAAACTTTCCCTTAGACAGCCCCTCTCTCCTACCTTGCCCTCATCCCCAAGCCCTTGTTTTCCTTCCCTCACTGATTACATGTTTTTCCTTGTCCCCACAGGCTTACAGGTTGTTCTCAAGTCCATCATGAAGGCGATGGTGCCCTTGCTTCAGATTGGGCTGCTCCTCTTCTTCGCCATCGTGATGTTTGCCATCATCGGGCTGGAGTTTTACATGGGGAAGTTTCATAAAACCTGCTTCTCTAACGAGACAGGTGAGCTTCGAGCTTTGTTCCCCTCCCAGTGTATCATTTCAATGCTTCTAGTGCCCTTCATCTCATTGGGATGCTTTCTATCCTGCTCTTATGTTGCTTCTCCCTTTTCCATGTTCACTGCATTCTCTCCCTCTTTACCCACCTACTCAAAGAGTTAACAGACTTTTGTGGTCACCCTACATGCACTGGGACAGATTCTCCTCTCTCTGTTACACCACCACGGCACCCCTGAAGTTGGTAGGTTGCTCTCAGCCTACAGAAACAAAGGTGCTTAGGGCCTTCTCTCATGGGAGAATTTTTTCACCGTAGAAATACAGAACCAAATTCCTCTTGTTCCAGCTTGTTGAAGGGTGGGGGTTTTTTTTTGTTATTTTTTTGATTCAGTGGTCTCTGTTTACATCTTCATGGGGTTTATCTCTATGAACAGCTGCTGAACGTTGAATTTCTTTGCAAGGTTTCTGGGGCAACTTGCACGGATATGAGAAAACTTTGGTGTGAAATAGTAAGACTGGAAAGACTGGGAGCAACCAAAAAAAAAAAAAGGGCAATAGATGGAAGGCAAGAAGCTCTTTGATGGAGAAAGGATAAAACTGTCCTTCAAAGAGAGAAGGGCAAGGGAAATTGGGCGGTGCAGATTAAATGATGTGTCTGCCTGTGAATGAGTTATAAACCCCAGAAGATGGAGGTGGAGAGGAGTTAATGCCCAGAGACCCTCGGCTGGCACCAGCTGCCATGTCAAAGCCAGCTGCTTGTCCATGGCTCAGAACTCATTCCAATTTAAAAAACCCAAAAGCCAATTTTTTCCATGTAATTTTTTAATATTCCTTTATAGTAGTGCTAATATGTGTTGGTTATCTGGGCTATCCACAGATGAAAATATTGTTCTTGTCTCCAAAATATTGCAATTTAAGGTACAAATGATTGTCTTTAAAACAGAGTCTTGTGTTTTCAGTGATTATCACTAATAGGTCTTAATATTGATTTATTTATATGCATTCAAATGGTAATAAAACAACATCCCTGCCAAATCTCTGGGCATCCTTCACAGTGCTTTCTAACAACAACATGGAAACAGTTTAATATATTCAGTTTACACAGAGCTTTGCAAAAGCGGGGTGAAATTGTTTTCTTGCTTATGTTCCCATGTAATATTAGAAAAACCTAACACAACTTGTAAAGGACAGTCAGGTGGTGTGACTTGTGAGCAAAGCACGATGATTCCTGGAAGAAATGAATTTTTGGACTGGATTTGTAGCAGAGGAAAATCTTTTTGCAGGGGGGTGTGTGTTCATGCCAAGCAGAACAAGTCTCAGCCTACTGCAGGGTCTCTGGGGCTACTGCAGCAGTTACAGAGGAATAATAACAACGGTGACAACACAGGTGTGTAGGAAGCAGAAGCGTTCTTGGTGAGATGGCAGGGAGAAAGCAATTATAAGCAGGTTTGCATTTTCTAGGAGCATTTTCAGGTCTGTTAAATTGCAACCAAGGTGGGTGGTTTTTTGCATCCTTCATTTGCAGGTAGCGGCTGCAGGCTGAGCTCCGAGGCTCTGTCGCCAATGGGTTGACTTAAGCCAGTGGGCTAAAGAGAAGAGTGATTAATTTTTTTTTTTTTTTTTGTCCTTCCCCCAGAAACTAGAATCATAGAATCATTAAGGTTGGAAAAGACCTCTAAGATCATCAAGTCCAACTAGCCTTACTAGTTAAGGTGAAAGGGAAAAATAAAACCGAAAGCTGTTTGTGTTCTCTGCAGACAATTCCCTGACATCAGTGATGACTGAGAGATCTCTGTGCCAGGCTTGGGGACTGAGAACAGATTTTTGTCATGTGTAATGTCGTGTGTAAGCGACTTTTGCTTGCTGGGTGGCTCCCAGCTAGGAATTGGGAGTGCAGCCAAAAAACTGTGGTGTGTTGCGTATCTCTGCACGGCAGCACCTGGCATCTCGGTGGGAGGACGCGGCGCGGCCAGGCTCGCCTCCCCCCGAATCCGCTCGCCGGGCGGGGTGGGAAGGTGCCTGTGTTTACAGGCACCGGCCTCTGCTTTCCTCAAGGGCTAACGAGCTGGTTGTCAGATGAATTATGGGGATCGATTCCACCTGCTCGGCGGGAAATGGCGCGATGGTGTTTCTGGAAAGGCAGTGAGCGGCGAGGCTTCCTGGCGCTGCGGTCCCTTGTGAGCGGAGCCATCATCCCGCAAAGCCATCAGCCGAGCCTTTTAAAACCTAAGTGCTCATCATCTCCAAAGAGGTGCATTAACAAGCCCAGGCCTGATACCACGGGCTCCAAAGGCCGGCTTGAGCGTGGAAATGTGAACCTCATTAAAGAGATGCCTCTGTCAGAGGGCAGCAAATTGGAGGAGGAGGAGTTGCTCGTGCTTCTTTCTGTTCCAAATCCCCAAAGTGAGCAAACTCCTGGGATTTTTCCTGGAATCAGGAGCCACGTGAGAGGTACCAGCTGCTACTTCAGCGCATTGTGGAGGGAAATGAGTAGAGGTGTCAGCAGCAAATGTTGCTATAGCCCTGCTAATCCAGTAGCCCTGGGTAGGTCAGTAATAAACTGCAACGAAGAGGGATGCTGGGGACCAAACTATGGCAAAAGGGTTATTCAAGGCCTTTGCCGCTCAGCCTGACAGACTGTTCTGAGCTAGTGGAAACATTTGTTTATCTTAATGAAAAATAGGTAAAAATTAATGGCAGTGCATGTTGCAGTGGATGTCTGACTTGTTTTCCTCTCCCTGCATCCTCCATGCTGTCCTGTTCTGCTGACACAGCGTTATTTTGAAGCAGCCACCCTCCACAGGTGACCGAGCCCAAGTGCCCCGAAGCTGCTCCAGGAGAGGAGGGCATCACATTTGTTTCCCATTTTTCCTTAAGACTCCTCTTTTCTCTGTCTTTCCCAGCCATGGGAGCAAGCACCAATTCCAGTCTCTTTTTTAAAAAAGGAAAAAAGAACCCCCAAAGCTTCGTAGTAGATGTGCATTGCATTTTCAGAGCATTACCTGGCAACAAGAGGCCAAACAGAGATAAAACTGGATTCTCTGTTAAGACACACTCACAAATGGTCTGCAAGAGCCAGATTTGGTATTTTCTTTTTGCACTAAGCCCTTGTGAAAGCCTGTGGTGACCCATATGGGAGCTTAATGCCCTGCATTAAGGTGTTGAGTCAACAGGAAAACACGTCACACAGACACACACAGAGAGCAGTATCCTGGAGCCACAGTGACAATCTTGTTTTCCTCCTGCAGGCTTTGCTCTATGGAATGATTATTCCTAATTATTGTTAGTGCTGATTTTGTTTTCCCCCTGGTGAATTTGATTTTGTGCAGTTTGCTGCTCCATTACCATAACGTGTCACTTTTAAAACCCTTTAATATTTCCCGAATTGCATCTCTGTGTAAATAGGATTATTACTTAGTATATTTATTTACTTTGAAAACCCAGCACTTTAGTTTTCCAAACTGCTCTGCATCGGTGCTTACAACATCTCTGGAGGGCTGCAACGCTTCAGACTTCACAGCTAACCCTAGAAGATGCTGGCCACCCTTCTGGCCATCCCTTGTGGTCCTTAACTATGACAGCCTCATCCTCCTTTGCCTTCTCGGGGTCTGAAATGAAACTCAGCAGAGAAACTCCATCCCTGCTGCAGGCAAGCTGACAGCTGGATGCTTTCCCTGCTACGGCATTGCCTTTTGGGGCAGAAATATGAAGCTTATAGAGGGGCTGGAGCTCTCAGTCCACCTTGCAGGCTGCTGTGGTGGTACTGCCTTGTGACGAAGCCGGGGGCTCCTCATGCAGCTGGTCTGACATCTCTATCTGGACAGCTTTGGGGCTATCCACAAGCAGCTCTTGCTTAAACCACTGGTGGAGAACCTGCCCTTTCGCTTTAACGTTATAGTGCCAGTATTTAGCACTTAGCTATGCTGTATGAGGGTGTATCGTTGGCTCACAGTGTTTGAAGTATGCACCATTCCTAACCCTTACTTTTACCACACTGGTATTTTGTGGCATTTCTCATATATGACATGGCTGAATGCTGGGGCGAACTATAAATTGTGGGCATGTACAGGGATGGCTCTACTCTACCCTGCCACTAAACGATCTCTTACAACATCACAGTATATAAATGATTACATGGGTGTAATGTCTTTTACATGCCCATAGTGGCTCAAGGAAGCCTGAAATGTGAATGACATTCATGCAGCGGTGTGAGGAGGATGCAGCAGCACCAGCTGCTTGACTGGCTTCAGTCGGTAACTTTTCTCCCTGTTGTTCTTCTCTGCAGGTGACGAGGTGGGAGATTTTCCTTGCGGAGAGGAGCCTCCTGCCAGGCAGTGTGAGAGCGGGACCACCTGCAGGGAGTACTGGCAAGGACCCAACTACGGCATCACCAACTTTGATAATATCCTCTTTGCTGTGCTCACCGTCTTCCAGTGCATCACCATGGAGGGATGGACCGACATCCTCTACAATGTGAGTCCGCTGATGGGGCTGTGGGACTCCTGGGGTGCTGTTACGTAGTGTTTGGAAAAGGTTGTTCTGGAAAAAAAGTAATTTAGTTTGTGCATTTTTTTCCCTATTGATTAGCACCTCACCCTGCTTTTTAGGAGGATTGTTCCTATTTTCTTGAGGGTTGTTCTGCAAGTCCTGTAAGAGCCTTTGAACCACTATTGTGGCGTGTGGTGGTTTGAGGCTGCAGACTTGCTTACCTGCAACATGATGTCTTGTGTCAGCATGGTGTTGCCATGTGTAAGAATTGGTGTGTGCTGCTCCAAGATGCTGGTGTGCTCCGTTGGAGGATGGGTGAGTGAGTAGGAGCATGTTCTCATGATGTCCCATAGAAAATCAGTTACCAAATCGCACATTATAGGGTGGCAAAACCAGTGACTCATTAATATTTTGTACCTAGAGGTTTCTTCTCTTGACTAGGTCTAGTCTTCATGATCAAACTTGTAATCTACATCAATGAACAGCATCAGCTGGATATTAGCACTGAGATCCAGTACTAGTTTTGGCAACTCCAATACAATTTTACAAAGCCCTATCCGTCACCTTCACACCTGGCATGATTTTCTTGGCTGTAGAGAAAATACATCAGGCTGAATTTCCTCGCTAGGGTCTTCGCTGGCGGTGCCTCATGCCAGCCAGGACCATGACTGCCTCAGCCACTCAAGGTCAAAACCTCTTGGTCAGTTTTACTATTTCTGATTTTACAAAGAATAGGGCAACTTCACCCGATTAGCAACAACTGAACGACTCCACTGTCTTTCAGGCAGTGTAATGCTCTCGTTTGTGTCTGTAATTTATACCTACCCTTTTGAGGTGTCCTGTCTTGAGAGGCAAGCACCTAACCCTTGCTAGCAGGCTGGGAATAGAGCCCTTCAGCTGGTTTCCAGCATCTTTTTCATATTTCCTTGCAAAATGTGACAGCTGCTTTTTGGGAGCTGTAAGGGACTTGTGTATCTGTTGCAGACCTGTTCTCCCCAGCTTTGTGATTTGCTTAGATCTTCACATGTTTCTACAGTGGGTGTAAAGTGCTATGGTTTGAGTCTGTAGGATGGTCCAGCTGTTTTGTACTTCCATTTTCTACGGTGGAAAAGGACTTTATCAAGTACAGGGGCAGGAAGGAGAGAGCGAGGGGTGATCGTTAGCAATGTATGGCTGCATTGGCTGCTGCTTTCTATTGACTGTAGAAGGAAGGACAATCTGACACCTGTGCACAGATGATCTGAATTACCCCACGCTGTCCTAGCCAGGAGTGCCAATGTGGAAAAATAACTAAGGTAGGAATTAATAATGCCTCCAGACCATTTCACTGGCCGCTAGGATTACAAAGTGTTTGGTCTACTTCATTATAGACTCTAGACCCATGCTGGGCTCTTTTGCAGACCTTCCTGTGAGGGTTTCTGTAGCAACGGGAAAGTATTATTAATATCAACCACAGTAAATTGCAAGGTACAATTCTGCTGTGCTTGAAGCCAATATATCTGATTTATTACCTTCCCCATTCATTGCTCAGTTCCTCCATTTCTTCCCAGTCTTTGCCCACTTAGAGCGATCTCTAGAAGGGCTCATTTCCACACTGCGTGCCCTCCCCTCCCCCTGAAACTTCATCACACAACCAGTTTCTCCTATTCTCATTCAGCAATCCCATTCCTTCCTTCTAGTGCCAACCGTTGTAAGAAAAGCCCATTAGCATCCTGGCTGGAATTGATTAATCAATATGTGGTGTATTAGATCATCTTCTCCCAAACTGCCTTTTGTACCACATGCAAAAACGAGAGCTTACTATTGGGGTATTGATTTTGGGGGTTGCTTTGCAAACTCTTATAGTATCATTCTAGATACCCATTAATCTAATTGGAAACAGACGCCTGGATGAGATGCGGTTGAGTATTTGTTGTATAATGTCAAGCCTTGTCTGAGACTCCAGCTTTAGTTTTAATGTTTGGTGGGTTCATGTCTCTGACAGATACGAGGGTCTCTGGACGGTCTGCTTGTTGGGTGGAGGGCGAGTGGTGGGTGTCGTGCCACAGGACCACTCGGCAGATGGTGTTCGTGTAAATAGTGCCAGCAGCCATCTCTGCCCCCTCTCCCTTGGCCCTGCGCCGCGTGCTGGGTCACCCCCTCCCTGTGCTGCTCTGCTTGCTGAGGAGCTGGCTGTGCTTTTGCAGGTTAGTAGCTGAGAAAAGATGTGGGTGGAGAAGACCCACTGTGTGCAGCCCTTAACTTTTTCACAGCTTCAGTTATCTGCTGTTTTCTGGCCGCTTGGCGTTCGTCTTAGTTTCTTCTCTGCCTACTCCAAGTTCATCACATTTAAAAATGAAACAAAAGCCCAAACCAGCTGCAGCAATGACTGAAAACCCAGCACGGTGGGCGTTTGTGGATGCAGTTGTCAGACTGTGCAGAGGTAACAGCAATGCATCCGTCCATCCAGCACTAGTCAGTTCAGCAACTGCACATTAATGCTGCCTGAATCAGCTGGATCCCTACTGGACCCATAATGGGTTGATACGGTGTCGTGGTTTAACCCCAGCCAGCA